AAAAAAAAAAAACTGTTGTTGATTTGTGAAGGGAAACGATGACTTATCGTCACTTGCTCGAAAAAATTTTAGTTTCACGCTTGGGCCTGGGTATCAATCTTTCTGATTGGTGCGTTGTATTGATTGCCTCCGTTGTGACCTGGACCAACTGACAACTGCTCTCTCGGTTTCACAGCAGCCAAACGAGCTTTTTGTTGTTGCCAGTTCAAAAACGAGAAGGATACTAGTTAAATTTCGCAAAGATTTCTGGGATTGTCACAAGAGACAGAAAAAATGGTCAATAACTGATCTGCGCGTCCTCACTAACGATCCCAGAAACAATTGCGGGACACATTACGGCTCCAGTTTTCTTTATGTTTCTAAAGTGGCGAATTTACTAATTAGTCGAAACATGGGCTAGGATGTATAGCTTTTAACATTGTAAAAAAAATTAACTTTAGCATTGCATTGCTTTGCTTTGTTTTTTTTGGAAATTTCTCTCGCGCAGTTTAACCGCAGTGAAGCTCTCAGTAGGCCTAAAATACTTACAAAAACATGTAAAAAAGAACAGCTAGAGCAAGATTTTTCTCGTCATATCTCTAAACACGTGAAGGTGCATGATTTCCTTCTTTAGCTATTGAATTTGTAATGAGCTCCTCCAGTTTGAATGCTATGTGCGCCTCATCTTCGCGTTGTCAAAGAAAGAGTCACATCTTTTAGCTGGTAAATTCAGAATTCAAATGGTTTAGATTCACGTGAAATTACAACTGAAATAGAGAATTTGATCTGTAATCATACGAGTGGTTAACAATACCACGCGGTCGTGGTCCGATTTGTTAAACGACGAGTATGATTACAGTCCGAATTGGACGACACCAAGATCTGTTACCAATTGATCATATAACTATAAAAAAATAGCAATATTTTAGGCTTTTTGAAAAACTCCCCATCTTTCCCAAATCAAAGATGGCGGCCACAACAATACGAACATAAACATGCAACTTTCACCAGCCCAAAATACGCCTGCACTGCAGGCTACAGTATAAAAAGCCATTTAAGTGCGCGCGCCCGATGGCGCGTACTGTCCTATTATACTGTCCTATTGGTGATGGTGTTCTCAGTTGAGAATTCTGCTATAGTTATGATTAATTATAAAAAAAACCAATGGAATACCAAACTATTTCAATGGAATATTTTTTTGGCTACAATAAGCCCGATTTATAATGTAGCCATAGCAACGGTGGTCTTTCCACTCGAGTAGATATCGCTGTTTCGCGCGAAAGATCAGCTTATATTTCATTGGTTGCTATCTTAATAATGTGTCTCCTTGAGATCAAAATCGCCATAGTAGTGGCTGAGCCAAGCCCTAATACACTTGATCATTGAAAGCAGGCTTAAAAGTAATCAAATTGTTGCTGGTCATTCCGATGCTCTGTACTTAGCCATAGGTCTCAAAATGAATTTTTGTGGTGTATTTCCTCTGATTTCGAACGTTTCATACGCATGGAAATGAGTAAGTCACTTAGACAGTTAAGCGAGATAAAATACCTCAACCTCGTCAGGTGAAAATGAACAAGTTCCAGCCAGGATTGTATGACGGTCTGTAACTCCACTTGGAACAGCGTAAGAGGTGCCAAAACCAGTGTATGAATTAGTATTCTGATTGGCGTTGTCAACAATATTTATGTCATACCCCCAACCAAATGTTGGACCGTAACCTGGCGAATCGTAAATTGCTCTTGATGGATCTGTTACCATGCTCTTAAAGGGTGCAAGCCCCTCTTTGTCCCGGAGAGAGAAAATAAACGACTTGGAACTGGCAACAGATGCCTCTACAGACGCTAAAAAGAGAAAAAAAAAACAATAAAAAGGAAACAAACTATAATTAACAATCAGCAAATTTATTGCTACTTTCAACCAGCTAATTTTCAACACGTCATTCCTCCCCGACTTATTTTCCCCTTTTATTTAGCCTCGCCTGTGAAAATGCACCATCCCTGTCCATCCCATGTCTATGAAGGTGAACTTAACATTATTCAAAGGTTGTCCTACTCGTGTGATAACCTAGTCAACGAACCTGATAGCAGAAATTTGCTATTTCAACTCCATACCCAAAAGTATAAGAACATGTTGAGCCAAGCGAGATCGAGCTGGTTCTTTGTGAGGCTTTACAATTTTGGTTTGAAAATTTATATCATAAGAAAATGCTGCACCACTACATATGTACATTCTGCAGTCAATGTTGTTGGGCAGTCCTTATTATAACACAGTTGTGATAAAAAAGGCTTTTTATTTGCTGATCAAATATTAAGTTTGTCTATTTTTTGTTCGTAATTATGGCTGCTATATCTCTAGTAATAGGTGCTAGATCCTATTTAGCCTTTATTACTAATTACTACCCCAAAATATTGCCAGAGTAAAAAAAAAAAACACGCGTTTTGCCCAGAACACCCTAAAAGAGACCAAAATACGAAATTTACACCCCTAAACGAGACGGCGAGCATTCCCACCAGGTTCTTTTTGCCAAGCTCTTTTACTTGCTTCTGTGTCAAACACCTGGCCGAGCGTATTTCTGATTTCCCCTGCTATCATAAAAACTCAGAGCTACATAAAAATAAATAAATGATAAACAAATAAACATACCTGGATTTTTTAAAACCGGGTTAGCAAAAATATCAGCTCATTCTACTACTTGGCAATTTAAAACAACAAAACTCATTCAAAGGCCGATTAAAAGCCTTTATCTGACGCCGGGCAGTAAGTTAATGGTCCCTAGAAGCATTCCATTGAGTCCAATTTAAAATGACGCAAATTTTAGAACATTTATTCAGTAAACTGACTTCGCGAAGTTTCAAACCAGTGTCACTCTAGAAATTTTTAAGTTGAGTGAACTGCAGCGAAAGAGTGCCTTGGCTTACATAACAACTTAAATAGTTAGCAAAACACTACTTTTTTCGCGGTTCAATAAACAACAGGATTCCGCATGAAATAGACCACAAACTGAATGAAACATAGTGCACAAATTATCACCTTCTTATCTGCAAAAACCGGCCTATGGTGCAATGCCATTAGAGCCCGCTGAAACTAGACCTAGATCCAATTTTCCTGAGTCGGGAGTTGCTTTTCCAACGTACAATCAGCTAAGCTAAACACCGACGAAACAATATTAATGGCTGGCACAGAATATTTTGGCGAAACCCTAGTTCAACCACGCGATCATATACCTGTCAACACCATGCGGAAATCACACAATCACACACTTTCGCGGCACTGATAAGACTATCCACAACCACGCATAATCTTCTCACGTTTAACATAAGCGGAATATCATCGAATAACTCGGAAAAACTGAGCCTATTGCCACAAGGTAAACACTTCTGGACTTTTCTCTTCCACTGGCCTTATTCAAGTTCCCGGATGTAGAGTCACACGGTCGGCGGATCACCTTAGCCTTGTTTTCACACCTTAGCCTTGTTTTCCTTGTTTTCTTGGCCCGAGTCAAAATTCACCTGCAACTTTGCTCTCACCTAATTCATTTGACTCCTAAGAGCCTGTTCCCGAGGCCAAAGACTTAGTGGTCACCTTAGAAAAGCGAACAATATAGTACCTTTCTGTTTCAGCCCGGATCAGGGTGATTGATCCGTTTAGCCAAATGAAAGGAGAATATAATACGATATTGGACGATGCAGGCTCTGCGAATCGTAATAACTTTGTCCCATCTCAGAGCTTTACATGATGCTCTCCGGGAAACTTTTCTCAAGGTGACCAAAATATAAAGCTAGACTGCTAAACGGCACCGAAACCAGCTTTAGGCGCGAGTAGATTTCAAATAACTGTCACTTGTGTTAAAGAAACAATTGTGGGTAGGGAAAAAAAAATAGGGAGGGGGGGAGCGGTAAGTTAGTAATTCAGTCTACATCCACTTCTATACAAATCCCTAACCGCAAGACAAGCCAAAAAAAAAGAAAAAAGAAAAAAGAAGACATAAGTAAACAACACAGTAAACAAGCTATTAGACAGGGCAAGTTCAGAAAAATTACAAAATGTTTGCTAACCCGGTTTTCAAGACTCCGGGTAGATAAAAAATAATAAAATTAAACAAAAATAGACGCCGAAAGGCCTTCACTGGGCTGCACTAAAACCTTGACCAGACAGAAATATTGTATAGTACAAAAAGGCGAAGTTAACCATAACAGACAGCCACCTAACAGCTTATAGAATGAAATAAACAATCATGAAACGGCAAACTGATCCTTACGGCAAGGCGATGACGAAGACGTCACGCAAACCTTCGTGACCTTTTGGTACACTCCACGCTCCACAACAACACACCTCACACGCAACAACCTGCCGGAGTTTATAAATGTAACCATCCACGTTGTCCCTGTTCTTTTCTCCAGGACTTTGCTAAATTAACTCATAGCGGAGCTAGCACAGCCTAACACCATGGGTAAGAGAATTTGGTGAACTATCCATCCGAGAAAATGTAGTTATGACGTAGCGTACGCCCGCCCGTACGTAAACTTCATTTAAGCTGATGTCAAATGTCACATTAGATCTTGCACAAACTGACACTAGCCCGGCCTGTCAGCTATGTAAGCCATCCGTATGAGGATGAATTGACAGCTGTCAAAATCAAATATCCGCTGATAATTATCACGTGATCATCTCGCGGACTCAGATGAAAGGCTAGTCGTTTTGCCCCGAAATATAAGCTTAAAAAATAAGGCACACTTAAAAAAAAAAGTAAATGAAACTACGCTTTCACCGGGCAGGGCTGTCAGTCGGGCTACTAGTAGTTTAAAGTTATATGCACAAGTGGTAAATCACGTGGCCGCCCCGGCGTTTAGAGACAAATAATAATAATAATAATAATAATAATAATAATAATAATAATAATAATAATAATAATAAAATAACGAGTCTTTCTTTCCACTGAATTTTAATGCCTACATTAACTTAGATAACAGGGAAAGAGCTAGAGCGACCAATTTCGTTGAAAGAAAAACATGACAATAATATAGCGGCGGTTAGAAAATAAGAAATGCTAGCGACTACGAAAGTGAAAATGAGCGGCAGTGAAAGAACAGGGTGAACAGGACCACAAACATTTTCTCCATAAGACGGTTAAATAGGTAGTTAAAAGAAGTTTCACGTTTTAGTCGTGCAAAACAACGGCAAGGAAATGTACCAAAAAGTGTGCTGCACGTGCTCAGTTGTTTTCTTGCTAATTAGAAAAAAGTGTGCTGCACGTGCAAATTTGTTGTTGTTGTTTTTTTGCTAATTAGATCTATTGTTGTTGTTTTATACTGCTCTCGTTGTTTTAACCCTGTCTTTAGTATTACTCGATTTTATATTTTCTTTGAGGAAACAATCAATATTAAAGAGTGCTTCGCTTTTAGCCCTGGATGAATCTATTTATAAAATAACTAAGATAGTACGCGCGCTCTGATTGGCCGAGAGACGTGTTTGCATCAGAGTATGTAAACATGGTTCTGACGTCAAGGTCTTTTGCTTTTCGCGCGCTAATCACGCAAGCACGAATTTAAAAAAGGTTTTGAGTTGAAAACCTCGACAAGTTTACATTATTTAGCCATTTCCTCGCCGGCTGAAACTCGGAAAATCTTCAGAGACATGCTGTGTCAATTTTTTTCGCTGGAGCTGATATTTTAAGCGAGAAAAACCCGTATTTTGGAAAGCATTTTTTTTGCAAAACAAGGACAGATTACGCGTACAAGCTTCGTGTACAAGACTTCGCGACTGGTAAGAATTTGTCTTTTAATCAGTTCTCTAAACAAGAGAGTTTTGCTTTTTCCTCAGGAAAGTTATTTTATAACAGCAATAGAAAACTTTTCCCCTGTGTTTGCATATCCTGATATAAACACTCGAGAGGTTGGGAGAATTCTCGACAGTTATGCAATCCCTAGACTTCGTCTCGGGTGGGCATAACTGTCTCGAATTCTTCCAACCCCTCTCGTGTTTATATCAGGCTATGCAACCACGGAAAACGTTTTCTATTGCTTAAATATAATTCTACTTCTTAAAAAAGCTTGGGCTTGTTAGAAGCTTCATTTACATTGTTTCCATAATTAATTAGGGTATGTTGTGAAGGTTTAACAACGAGATGTGACCGAAAACGCTAACTTTGGTTAACTTGACTTTAATGTCACGATCACGGAAAAATAACTATATTTGACTAAAGTAAAGACTCTACCGAAGTAAAATTATGATAGGCACACACTGTAGGTTCTGGGTTCGGTCAATTTTCTGCTTTTTATCGATAACAACAAAAAAAAACCCTCAACTAAAAAATAAAACAAAGCAAAAAAAAACAAAGGAACACTTACCCCAAGGAATATCAGTGTACCCTCCGAACACGTACTGGTCTTTTTTGATGATTGTAATCGTATGGTTTTTCCCATCACATCTGCTGTGGAAGGTACTGGCAGCCCAGCCATGAGTGGAGGCCTGCCAACACAGAGCCCATTTGCTGTCGTTTCCAATCGCAGGCTCAAGGCCGAACTGTTTTGCTATTGACGAAATGAAACCTAAAAATAAAAGGCAAAGTAAGAACTTATCTCACGCTTGGTTATGTATCGTGGAAAAAATCTAAAACAACCGTGTTTATACCGCGGCAGGATAAGCTCAGTGGGGTAAAGCGCTTGATTGCAAAGCGGGAGGTCGCGGGCTCACTTCCAGGGCCTGGAATAATACCCAGGATTTTGAAATAACTGAGAAATGAAAGTACTAGTTGCCCCCGCCCTACCTACGGCTACACTATCGCTTAGCTCATGACCACGTACAAATAGCTGTCCCGTCTCCACGAGGAAGCATATCAATAAAATAGTGTCCAAGCGTATTTCTGATTTCCCCTGCTATCATAAAAACTCAGAGCTACATAAAAATAAATAAATGATAAACAAATAAACATACCTGGATTTTTTAAAACCGGGTTAGCAAAAATATCAGCTCATTCTACTACTTGGCAATTTAAAACAACAAAACTCATTCAAAGGCCGATTAAAAGCCTTTATCTGACGCCGGGCAGTAAGTTAATGGTCCCTAGAAGCATTCCATTGAGTCCAATTTAAAATGACGCAAATTTTAGAACATTTATTCAGTAAACCGACTTCGCGAAGTTTCAAACCAGTGTCAGTCTAGAAATTTTTAAGTTGAGTGAACTGCAGCGAAAGAGTGCCTTGGCTTACATAACAACTTAAATAGTTAGCAAAACACTACTTTTTTCGCGGTTCAATAAACAACAGGATTCCGCATGAAATAGACCACAAACTGAATGAAACATAGTGCACAAATTATCACCTTCTTATCTGCAAAAACCGGCCTATGGTGCAATGCCATTAGAGCCCGCTGAAACTAGACCTAGATCCAATTTTCCTGAGTCGGGAGTTGCTTTTCCAACGTACAATCAGCTAAGCTAAACACCGACGAAACAATATTAATGGCTGGCACAGAATATTTTGGCGAAACCCTAGTTCAACCACGCGATCATATACCTGTCAACACCATGCGGAAATCACACAATCACACACTTTCGCGGCACTGATAAGACTATCCACAACCACGCATAATCTTCTCACGTTTAACATAAGCGGAATATCATCGAATAACTCGGAAAAACTGAGCCTATTGCCACAAGGTAAACACTTCTGGACTTTTCTCTTCCACTGGCCTTATTCAAGTTCCCGGATGTAGAGTCACACGGTCGGCGGATCACCTTAGCCTTGTTTTCACACCTTAGCCTTGTTTTCCTTGTTTTCTTGGCCCGAGTCAAAATTCACCTGCAACTTTGCTCTCACCTAATTCATTTGACTCCTAAGAGCCTGTTTCCGAGGCCAAAGACTCAGTGGTCACCTTAGAAAAGCGAACAATATAGTACCTTTCTGTTTCAGCCCGGATCAGGGTGATTGATCCGTTTAGCCAAATGAAAGGAGAATATAATACGATATTGGACGATGCAGGCTCTGCGAATCGTAATAACTTTGTCCCATCTCAGAGCTTTACATGATGCTCTCCGGGAAACTTTTCTCAAGGTGACCAAAATATAAAACTAGACTGCTAAACGGCACCGAAACCAGCTTTAGGCGCGAGTAGATTTCAAATAACTGTCACTTGTGTTAAAGAAACAATTGTGGGTAGGGAAAAAAAAATAGGGAGGGGGGGAGCGGTAAGTTAGTAATTCAGTCTACATCCACTTCTATACAAATCCCTAACCGCAAGACAAGCCAAAAAAAAAGAAAAAAGAAAAAAGAAGACATAAGTAAACAACACAGTAAACAAGCTATTAGACAGGGCAAGTTCAGAAAAATTACAAAATGTTTGCTAACCCGGTTTTCAAGACTCCGGGTAGATAAAAAATAATAAAATTAAACAAAAATAGACGCCGAAAGGCCTTCACTGGGCTGCACTAAAACCTTGACCAGACAGAAATATTGTATAGTACAAAAAGGCGAAGTTAACCATAACAGACAGCCACCTAACAGCTTATAGAATGAAATAAACAATCATGAAACGGCAAACTGATCCTTACGGCAAGGCGATGACGAAGACGTCACGCAAACCTTCGTGACCTTTTGGTACACTCCACGCTCCACAACAACACACCTCACACGCAACAACCTGCCGGAGTTTATAAATGTAACCATCCACGTTGTCCCTGTTCTTTTCTCCAGGACTTTGCTAAATTAACTCATAGCGGAGCTAGCACAGCCTAACACCATGGGTAAGAGAATTTGGTGAACTATCCATCCGAGAAAATGTAGTTATGACGTAGCGTACGCCCGCCCGTACGTAAACTTCATTTAAGCTGATGTCAAATGTCACATTAGATCTTGCACAAACTGACACTAGCCCGGCCTGTCAGCTATGTAAGCCATCCGTATGAGGATGAATTGACAGCTGTCAAAATCAAATATCCGCTGATAATTATCACGTGATCATCTCGCGGACTCAGATGAAAGGCTAGTCGTTTTGCCCCGAAATATAAGCTTAAAAAATAAGGCACACTTAAAAAAAAAAGTAAATGAAACTACGCTTTCACCGGGCAGGGCTGTCAGTCGGGCTACTAGTAGTTTAAAGTTATATGCACAAGTGGTAAATCACGTGGCCGCCCCGGCGTTTAGAGACAAATAATAATAATAATAATAATAATAATAATAATAATAATAATAATAATAATAATAATAAAATAACGAGTCTTTCTTTCCACTGAATTTTAATGCCTACATTAACTTAGATAACAGGGAAAGAGCTAGAGCGACCAATTTCGTTGAAAGAAAAACATGACAATAATATAGCGGCGGTTAGAAAATAAGAAATGCTAGCGACTACGAAAGTGAAAATGAGCGGCAGTGAAAGAACAGGGTGAACAGGACCACAAACATTTCCTCCATAAGACGGTTAAATAGGTAGTTAGAGGAAGTTTCACGTTTTAGTCGTGCAAAACAACGGCAAGGAAGTGTACCAAAAAGTGTGCTGCACGTGCACCGTTGTTTTCTTGCTAATTAGAAAAAAGTGTGCTGCACGTGCAAATTTGTTGTTGTTGTTGTTTTTTTGCTAATTAGATCTATTGTTGTTGTTTTATACTGCTCTCGTTGTTTTAACCCTGTCTTTAGTATTACTCGATTTTATATTTTCTTTGAGGAAACAATCAATATTAAAGAGTGCTTCGCTTTTAGCCCTGGATGAATCTATTTATAAAATAACTAAGATAGTACGCGCGCTCTGATTGGCCGAGAGACGTGTTTGCATCAGAGTATGTAAACATGGTTCTGACGTCAAGGTCTTTTGCTTTTCGCGCGCTAATCACGCAAGCACGAATTTAAAAAAGGTTTTGAGTTGAAAACCTCGACAAGTTTACATTATTTAGCCATTTCCTCGCCGGCTGAAACTCGGAAAATCTTCAGAGACATGCTGTGTCAATTTTTTTCGCTGGAGCTGATATTTTAAGCGAGAAAAACCCGTATTTTGAAAAGCATCTTTTTTGCAAAACAAGGACAGATTACGCGTACAAGCTTCGTGTACAAGACTTCGCGACTGGTAAGAATTTGTCTTTTAATCAGTTCTCTAAACAAGAGAGTTTTGCTTTTTCCTCAGGAAAGTTATTTTATAACAGCAATAGAAAACTTTTCCCCTGTGTTTGCATATCCTGATATAAACACTCGAGAGGTTGGGAGAATTCTCGACAGTTATGCAATCCCTAGACTTCGTCTTGGGTGGGCATAACTGTCGTCGAATTCTTCCAACCCCTCTCGTGTTTATATCAGGCTATGCAACCACGGAAAACGTTTTCTATTGCTTAAATATAATTCTACTTCTTAAAAAAACCTTGGGCTTGTTAGAAGCTTCATTTACATTGTTTCCATAATTAATTAGGGCATGTACTGTTGTGAAGGTTTAACAACGAGATGTGACCGAAAACGCTAACTTTGGTTAACTTGACTTTAATGTCACGATCATGGAAAAATAACTATATTTGACTAAAGTAAAGACTCTACCGAAGTAAAATTATGATAGGCACACACTGTAGGTTCTGGGTTCGGTCAATTTTCTGCTTTTTATCGATAACAACAAAAAAAAACCCTCAACTAAAAAATAAAACAAAGCAAAAAAAAACAAAGGAACACTTACCCCAAGGAATATCAGTGTACCCTCCGAACACGTACTGGTCTTTTTTGATGATTGTAATCGTATGGTTTTTCCCATCACATCTGCTGTGGAAGGTACTGGCAGCCCAGCCATGAGTGGAGGCCTGCCAACACAGAGCCCATTTGCTGTCGTTTGCAATCGCAGGCTCAAGGCCGAACTGTTTTGCTATTGACGAAATGAAACCTAAAAGTAAAAGGCAAAGTAAGAACTTATCTCACGCTTGGTTGTGTATCGTGGAAAAAATCTAAAACAACCGTGTTTATACCGCGGCAGGATAAGCTCAGTGGGGTAAAGCGCTTGATTGCAAAGCGGGAGGTCGCGGGCTCACTTCCAGGGCCTGGAATAATACCCAGGATTTTGAAATAACTGAGAAATGAAAGTACTAGTTGCCCCCGCCCTACCTACGGCTACACTATCGCTTAGCTCATGACCACGTACAAATAGCTGTCCCGTCTCCACGAGGAAGCATATCAATAAAATAGTGTCCTCAATTAGTACGTTCGGGCTAACAGTACATCCAGAATGAAGTACGATTTCAACGTACGTTTCTAAAAGACGCGTTTTAATTGCCAGAGACTAAGTCGATTTCCAAAATACACAGGAGCCAACGCTCATTCAAAGGGTCAGTTGAACGGCCCTTTCTGAAATCATAAGTGTGTAGTGACTGAGATACACTCTTGATTTAAACGCGGACATCTCAGTGAGTCTCTTATAGCGGAGCTCTGTCCATCCTAGAAAATTTAGTAATCTCGTGGTTCTACACCGACCCACCGTCCACATCAGAGGGAGACCGATGTTTTATCTCACATTTTCTTGCTAGTTTGGGAGCTCAGGTGCAACCTGATATTTTCCATTCATGTATTTGACAGCTGTCAAAACAGGGTATCCACTGACCAGTATCACCTAACGGTATCGCGCGCTCGGGTATTGACTCATCAAGACCGAGTATTTTTTGAAGTTATCCGCTGACTAGTTACTAGTTTTCAAATGCTCGCAGGCTCAAGTTTTTTTTTTTTAATGCATAGGAAATAAGTTGTGTTTATGAGCCGCACTATTAAAATTTTGATTTTAAGCTCACCTCGGACGCGAAAATTCATGCAGTCAGCTATTACAGACAGGGAAGGCTAGACTGTTCACAGTCCTCTATTTTCCCGAGAGATCGTCGAGATCGAGCGGTTTGCGTTACGGGCTACTATCTTCAATGAGTGTCAAAACTACTTTGGGCAGGGGCGGTTTGGGAGGAAGGGAGAAAAATAGAGGAACTGTAACAACATCACTGCACCCAGCATTCAGAAGGCGTGACAGGATTTCAAGCTTTTTACCATTCATTAATCAAGCAACTCCGCTGGCGATGAAAAACATGTCAGACACATTTAGCATCGATTACGCGTGTTTACAAATCTCTCCTTTCGAAACAGTGATTTTATAATGTTTCTGGGCCATTCTTCCAAATAAAATAGGCAAACATGCACAAGAGAAACATTTTCCTAATCGAAGCGCTAAGCATGCTCGTTTCACCACAGATTAAAACGGTTAAACCTCCCGATAAAAAGCCGTGCATTTTTGACGGGTCTTCTTTTTTGCGTCGGCGTAGCGTTTATGATTCATTTGGCAGAAACTGTGTTACAACATTCCCCTGGCCGGGCTGCTTCAAAAGCATGTTGACTTACGTGAATCATCCGCAAAATACCAAAAATCCTTCGTGTGTTTGCTCAAGAAGTACCTTATGGTATGAAAGCGTACGTTTTATTGAAACTTCGACTTGTCAACGACTTGTCAGTGTCGGCAAGTTAAACTAAACCCGTAATGAACGCAAATTAACATCTAACGACCAATCAAACGCCTGCGTTGCTGGTACAACGCGCCCCTTGAACGCGAGCTGCAGCGATGCTATTACAGCCCCTCTATTTTTCTCGCCCCCCCCCCCTCCCCCCTAACTAGAGCTATGATCCCCGACGCCCACCTCCTCGGTACATGTGAAAATCAAGACGGCCGTCAATGACGGTAAGACGCGCTATACCTTAACGATCTCACGCAGTTGCTTTTGACTTTTCTCACCATGGTCGGGCGTTGGTCATGGTCTACGTCCAATTTTTATGCTCTGATTGGTTAAAATTTGACAGGTGAGTTCATGCAGAAAATTTATGCAGCATCTGGAATCTTGTTTCCTGATACCTGAAGCTCACAGAGTTTTGTGTCACCTTGTAATGCCTTTAACTGTCTTTTTCCACATGTACTAAATAAAATTCAGCTGCTATCTAGATTATTCTGACATTCATGGCTGGTTTGTTTATTGGGAGTTTGGTTGAGAAATTCGCCGGCTGTCTGATTTCGGATGGCATCGTTTTCGTTTTTCACCTTGCTTGATGCGTAAAGGTTGAAAAATCTCAAGCGATTCTGGCCTTACGTGCATTACTTGATGGTTTGTGCAGGAGCTGCATGTCCACTGGTAAACCTGAGTAATTATTGTACAGTATTTGATTACTTTTTTTTTTTCTGGTTTCGTGTAGCGGGTCGTTGTTTATACGGCTAGTTTATGCACGTTTGTAAGATTTGAGACAATGATCTGACCTAGCATCAGGTTTGATATCAGAGCTTCGCAAACTCATTAATAGTTCTAAAAGAAAATACAAAAGAAAATTAATGTTTTATGAGTGTTTGGAAATCAACTGAAAAACTGCTCATTTTTGCATCCATAATTTCTCCCTCTAAAATCATTTGGTTGAGAAGTAATATCAAGCATTCAACATAGCGAAGTTCGCCAAAAATACTCCGCTGCGCGTCGTAATTTTCAACTCTCTTCTCGGTGTTTCATCTGGTGACGAGACACTGCCTCTCCATCCTCGGAGACCCAGGGGCAGTTAGTCGGGTCGGGAGAAAAGGCGGGACGAAAGTTTCCTCAAGAACGGGCGAAAGAGCACCTGGGTACCGACTCTCACCGAACTATTTTCAAAAATTCAAACAGATGCCGGCTCCTGATTGGGCACAACAAATGCTTTGTATTATTGTGCCCGATCGGCGGAACAGTTTCTCCTCAGTTCTTTTCGTGAGTTCGTACACGACCACTATTGTCGCCATCACGGCTTGTCTGGATCATGCACCAAAGAAATGCACGCAGTCAGGAAACTTTCAGTATGATATAAAATCCCCACTGATCTGATCCCCATCTGATCCCGAAAACTAAAGACGCTTTTCCAAAAATACAAGCTTGAGCTTACAAAAGGTATTCACGCCTGCATCGGTCACGTCTTGCGTAACTATTAGGGAGTTTTAAAAACATACCACGACGGCTGATGTACAGCCACGAAAACGTCGCATGGAAAAGTGAATTCACATTTTTTCAATCTCTATCGTGATTATTTCAACATCTCGCTTACTTTGTCAAATGCAAGCGAACTCTTCTGGAGCTGAATTTCTATCAACCATATCCAAGTTCATGAAGAGAATGAATTTTGTCATCGCTTGTTTACGTCCTTCACAAAACGTGAAATTAGGCATTTTCATGGGTAGTCGTGCAGTTGACGGGCAACGAAATGTACAAAACAGCGTGATGCACGTGCAAAGTTGTCGTTTTGCCTTGTCAAGCTATTGCTTATTTGACTTTCTCGTCGCCACCATATCCCAAACTTCCTATTATTTACGATACCTTCTGATCCGTCAAAACCAGAATATTCTCGGGGCAAATTCCCGAATTGCTCCTGCTGATAGCACCCCAAACATTTTTTTCGATTCATCGGTAGTTCCTTTGTTTCTGGTTAGGAAAGTATAAAATAAATTAAAGTTTCCCTTGCACGCACAAGCTTGGTGAAAGTGTGGCCAGACAATAGCCGTCGTATACGAACTCACGAAAAGAACTCAGGAGAAACTGTTCGCCGATTTGGCACAATTATAGAAAGCATTTTTTGTGTCCAATCAGGAGCCGGCTTCCGCTTGAATTTTTGGAAATAGTTCGGTGATCGAGTCGGTACCCAGGGGCTCTTTCCCCGTACTTGAAAACTTTCGTCCCGCCTTTCCTCCAGACCCGACTGACTGCCCCTGGGTCTCTGAGGATGCTGCGTCTCATGCTTTATAGCGGAGCTCTGGCGCGCGAAGCGCGCCTGCGGAGCACCATGGGTAAGTGAATCTACCTATCCCAGAAAATTTGGTAATCACATGACCGTACACCGCTCGCCCGCCCGCCGCCCGTCCGTCCGCACCACAGGGCAACCAATGTTCAATCCCACACTTTCTAGCTAGTTTGGGAGCACAGGAAGACTGATATTGCACACATATTGCACATCAATGTTGTGACCAATTGACAGCTGTCAAAACAAGGTCCCGCTGACCAGTATCACCTGACCATATCGCGGGCTCAGGTGTCGACCCATCGAGGTCGGCTATTTTTTGAAGTTATCCGCTGACAAGTTACTAGTTTTCAAATGATTGCAGGCTCAACTTTAATTTTTTCAATTCATATGAAATATGTATTTTATATGTGCAGCACAATTAAAATTTTGATTTCAAATTGACCTCGGAAGCTAAGATTCAGCCAGTTTTTACAGGCAGGGAAGACATGCCAGTTGCTTTTGACTTTTCTAGCCAAGGTCACGCGTTGGTCACGCTCTACGTCCAATTTTTATGCTCTGATTGGTCAAAATTTGACAGGTGAGTTCATGTTCATGCGGAAAATTTATGCAGCATCTTGAAACTTGTTTACTTTGACAGCTGAAGCTGACAGAGTTTTGTGTCAACTTGTGATGTTTTTAACTGTCTTTTTCCACTGAACATTGTACAAAATGAAATTCAGCTGCTGTCAAGAGTCTTCTGTTATTCATGGCTAGTTTGTTTATCGGGTTTTTGGTTGAGAAATACGTCGCTTGTCAAAGTCGGAAATCCGATTTCGGATGGCATCGTTTTCGTTTTTCACCTTGCTTGATGCGTAAGAGGGTTGAAAAGTCTGAAGCGATTTTGGCCTTACTTGATAGTTTTCAGTGCATCTTGAATGGTAAGCCTGAGTAATTATTTTATTTGATGTCTGTTTTTTATATCTAATTCAATGAAGTCGAGTGTAGTTTATGGGGCTATTTAGTTTATGCACGTTTGTAAGATTTGAGACAATGATCCGATCGAGTATCAGGTTTGCTTATAAGCTTATAGAACTTTAAAAAGCCTTCAGACATTTCCTCACCGCAAATAGAAAGAAAACGTTCCAAAGAATATTTAGTTATAATTTTGGCTGTAAAAGAAAGCTTTGAGCGATTTTCTTGCTTTCTCTTTGAAAAACGCAATCACCGGGAAGCCGGCTTAAAACATAAACAAGGATTTTCAGAGACACTTTAATACTTGTCTTCGTGAATGAAAATTGCCGTCTCTGTATACGTTTCACCGAATTATTTTCCTTTTATTGATTGTTAGTGGTCTCTTTTGCAATTTTCATCGCTGTTGTTCCGTTTGTTTTCAGTCGCTCATGAACACAGCTTGCAGGAGTAGTCAAAATGCCGCGTGTATCAAACGCTTTTGAAGATTACACATCGTTATAAAGCCATTATGCTGAAGCGTATAATTGTGTTAATCTTAATTTAAACAGTCGACTTTAGCGCTTGTCAAAAGTGAGAACCGGCTCGCCGTATAGGTGATATTGGAAATTTTTTTAACCGTTTCGCTAACGCGTGTTTCGATCGTCCTGAATATTGAATGAGTGCAATTTGTATTGCAAAATTGTGAAATACTGCATTATGTGCGAGGCCTGTATGATAAAAACAGCGCCTCATGGTACTGTTTCACCTCAGATCTGATGTATAAAAAATATAAAAGGTTGGTTTACACGTCCCCAGACTTGTTGGCGAGATTTTGTAAAGTAAACTTATCGAACGCAAAAAATTCGGCCTGATTTGTTTTCCTAATGTACTGTGATCAAGAACCATTATGGCTATGCTATTTTTTAGGTGTACATATAAGGCTATCAAGTCGATGTAAGATTAATTTCACTCTTAGCTTGGACTGTTTGCAAATTATTTTTCTCTAAAATTACTTAGCCTTTCCGTCAAAAGTCACTTGAATGTGCTCTAAAGTTAACTGATTTGTGGAATACAAGTTTACAATTGTTTGATTTAAATTATAAATTCGAGTTAGTAGGAGCTTCGCCTTTAGCCCTGGCTAAATCTATATATTATATTTATTCACTTACAGAACTTTAAAAAGCCTTTAGACATTTTCGGACCGCAAATAGAATATTTAGTTAAGATATTGGCTGTAAAAAGAAAACTTTCAGCGATATTCTTGCCTTCAGTTCATCTAGAAAAATAGCAACACTGGGAAGCCAGCCGGCTAAAACAAAAGCTTAACCTTAAATCTGCAAGGTTTTTTAACAGCTTATATACTTACATGACTCAGGATTTTTAGAGACCCTTTAATCTCAATACTTGTCTTCGTGAATGAAAATGTAAATGTTTCACGGAATCATATTTCTTTTATATTGATTGTTAATAGTCTCTCTTGCAGTTTTAATCGTTGTACCGGTTGTTTTCAGTCGTAAATGAATATCCTTTGCAGGAATACTCAAAATACCGCGCATATCAAACGCTTTTAAAGATTACACATAATAAAACCATGGAATAAAAAATAAACATAACAAATTATTTATTATGTTGGAGCGTAACTCCTATGTTCATTCAAATACTCCATATCTCGCACTGCAAATTTCGCGCTTGTTCAAAAGTGAGAACCGGCTGGCCGTATAGGTGATTTTGGAAATTTTTTGAACGTTTTCGCTAAAAGCCCATTATTACCCTGCATACTACAAAGGAGCAGGTTGTTCTGACTAAATAGTCCCGACGTTATGGAATTCTATTCATGAAAAACGTTTTATAATGTGGTCAATTGTATACTTTGTTGTGCAAAATGCGACCTATAAATTACAACGTTTAAATTGGCTGCCACCGAGGATTATCGTATCTTATAACCGGCCTTTATAGCATTAGATTTCGTCGCTGTCCAATAAACCTCAAAAAATAATGGTGTTGTAGGCGGGCGACTGGTGTATTTTGTCTGAGAAGAATTTGTTTTCCAGGCCTAATCGTCTGTGGGCAAGAGCCACAATGGCTCTTGACCGTGATTGAAGATGATGGAGGGGGGAGGGAGGAGGAAGGGGGCAGCGCATTTAACTGATGTTTTTGTATCACTTGATTTGAAACTAATGCCTTTTCTAGCGATCCCTGCTAGTAAGAAGAAACCCAATTTGTCAAGAAACCGTCATTAAGTCTTAATAAGACGCCAAACCGTGTATTAGAGAAAACCTAACAGCTTATGATTAGCTAAAACAGTCAGTTTAAGTTTACTTTTACTTGGTAGAGAGTTAAACAAATTTTTCACCACAACTTTTCAAGATACAACTTAACACAGCTAACCAGTTTCACATCGCTTTCCAGCAAATGCAGGTGGACAACTGCAGTTGAATCCGTTGGGTTGGTCGTTGCATGTTCCGTTGTTGAGACAAGGGTTGCTCTTACACTCGTTAATGTCTGTAACAGAGAATGATATCCAAACGCGCATCAAAATTAGGACACAAGTTAATGATAAAAGTTAAGAAATGCAAAATTGTAGCTAGCTAATTAAAAACAATCTAACCGATTTCACATCGATTCCCGGCAAATCCTGGCGGGCAACTGCAGTTAAATGCGTTGATTCGGTCACTGCAATTTCCGTTGTTCAAGCAGGGACCGCTGTCACACTCGTTTACATCTGCAGGAGATATAATAAAAGTAAACTTCTTTTTCTTTACAGCACAGAAGTCAATCGACACCCGCAAAATGCGATACAGAGAGCAAAACGTAGCATTTTTTTTAAGTAAAGTACACCTTGCGTGATACAATTATGGGCTGCTGTTACACTAATGTAATTCCCTTTACCAGAAAATATAATGAGAATAGGGACCAGTTTTCGGAGCAGCGATTTCTGGAATTGTTTGGTAGGCAAGCTTCACTTATGATTGATTCGCCATTTGCACACCTACCAAAATACACCTTGTTTGCCCCCTAAAATGTTGCATAACCTTTGTTTTTCATTTCTCCTGGGTATTATAATCGTTCCAAAAGAAATTAAAAACAATGCTTATGTAAAATTTTGGGGGGCAGACAAGTTGCATTTTGGAAGAAATTAATGGTTGCCTCGAATACCATCTGGACCAATCATAACTAACGCCTGTCCTCCCAAACGTTGTAACCATTCCCATTGAAGGTTCTGAAGTGAGGGATAGGCTTTGACATTTGAGCACGTCTTAACCTTACGAGGACATTATAGGGTAATTAGCTTAACACTACTATACTAACCAATTTCACATCGATTGCCAGAAAATCCTGGCGGGCAACTGCAGTTGAATGCACTGATTCGGTCAGTGCAAGTTCCGTTGTTCATACAGGGACTGCTCTCACACTCGTTTATATCTAAAGGAAACAATTATCACACTCAGATAAATTGCAAACAAAAAAAGAAACAAAAACCCACTTTTATGATGGGTTCTTTAGTGCATAGACTTCAACGAATTGACCACTCCAGGAAATGCCATGACACACCATAATACTCTTTGTTTGTCAGCCCAAAATTTTGCATAAGCATTGTTTTCAGTTTCTCTTGGGGCCATTTTAACTCCCAAGAGAAACTGAAGACAATGCTTATGAAAAATTTTGGTGTGACAAAAAAAGAACATTATGGTTAGAAGAATGTTATGGCATTTTCTGGAATGGTCAATTGAAAGCTGCGAAATAAAGTTATAAATCTTTTCTTAACAAAAACAACAATAAATGAACATGCAAGACCTAACATCGACAGTTTGTGTATAGATTTTCAAGCCGATAAACAATTATTTTAACAGCTAAACTCAGCTAACCAATTTCGCATCGATTGCCCGAAAATCCTGGTGGACAAGTGCAATTGAATCCGTTGCTTCGATCAGTGCATGTTGCGTTGTTTAAACAGGGATTGCTCTCACACTCGTTTATATCTGAAGGAAATATAATAAAAAATTAATTACGAATGATTATGTATGCGTTAATGACCAAACTTGTTGGGCTAAGATATATGCGTTATTATTTGCCAAGTTCTTTTTTTTTTCAGCATTTGCATGGACCGAAACGAATTAAAGGTCAATAAAAGTGCAAAACATACATCCAGTGGACCCTAGAGCCACCCGATAAAAGCGTATGTTTGTATAACATCATAACATTGTTGGATGATGAAGAACCCATATATGTAATAGGGATTTAAAATAGCTTAAAATTGATCCATATTTATCGGCCATCAGCATTCAACAGCGCCCAACATTAGGTGCTTAAACGGATACATAGCAAGTTGAAGGTTTTGGCGGATACGCAATGCAACTAGCAACAACAAGTATCTTACCAACTTCGCATCGGTTGCCGGCAAATCCTGGAGGGCAATTGCAGTTGAAGCCATTGATTAGGTCGATGCAAGTTCCGTTGTTCAAACAAGTAATATTGACACAGTCATTTACATCTGCAGGAGAGAGAATCAAAAATATTAAAAGAAAAAAAAAAAGAATGATAGATACCCTTCAGCCAAGGTACATTAGATTTTAGCAAGAGCCAAAACACCACTAGTAAAAGTAAACGTTGTTCTAGAGGTCGTTGGAGAAACCTGTCTATAAATAAGTTACTGTATCGATCAAGAAAGAAAATTGAAATTTGTGGTCCGGTAACGTCAAGGAAAAGTAAAAGTTCAGAGTGATACTTATTGTCCGACTTTCAAGGTAGTTTTTAAATCATCCCCTCAATTGGATTTTTTAATCGTAGCAGGGATTACGAGGGCGGTGTGCCATGCGCGTATGGCGCATAAATTTAGAAAATGTTGCATCCAGACAAAACTGCTAACCGAACCCAATATGCGCCCTGGTCGGGTGATAAGGAGATAACTACTTCAATCTGTGAATTAATTTTGTGTTACGACAAATAAAAACTTGAAATATCGACCTTTTTCTTTGTTTCTTTGATAGATGATCGTGTTCGTTTATTTTCGTCCCCAGACCTCCACTCGCACTCAGTTTGCAAACAAATTTCTGTCGAACTTTTGTCTTCGTCGTTTTCGTCTTTCTGGCCGAAATGAATTCATTTGCATTTGAATTAGTGAGATAACGCCTCCGAAGAAAGCTCCTAAATTAGATTTTCAAGGCCAAAGAAAACTTTCAAGTTTTTATTTAGCATGAATTTGAACGCCCAGTCCCACCGACAACTAACAACAACGATGCGACTGACGAATTTGAAGGTCCATCTGGCGAAACAAGTACGCCCTCCACACTCTCAAGGCCTGCATGTAACGAAGACAGGAAATTCCAGTCGAAGCGGCTAGCCCTGTGGCCGTGGCTGGTGTTTGAAAGAGATGCCATGTTTCGTAAGATTTGCCTCAAAGTCATGGCAAAACAAAAAAACAACAACAAAAAACAACCCTCGGTTGCAAAATATTATTATTATTAAGTATTTAAAACTGTAAGAATACTCTGTACTTATGCACATTAAAAAAATACACGAAGTACTGCACACACTAGCACGAATTTGCACATATCATTTCCTTCTTCCTTTTTATTCGGCCCACCCCATGACTTCAATGGCCCATACTTTCACGAAATGGCCTATAACGTTTCAAAGTCAGAGGCCATTGGCCATTTATCTATTTTGCGTTCCCAATTCCTGTTGTAGTGAGCTCAACTAGTAAAAATCAATAATATAATACCTAAAATAAGTACAAGAGCTTCATGCTGATTACCGTTCCCACTTGCAAAGTGCGTTAATAGTGTGTCACCTGTGATTGTATTATAGTTAGTAGCAACATTGTTTCAACTCAGTATTTCTTACTCGTTTTGCAGTTTTTTCCGGTGAATCCTTCCACGCAGATACACTTATATCCATTTTCCTGGTACAACGAAATGCATTTTCCAGTGTTATTACAGGGTGAACTGTCACAAGGAGACTACAGAAAGGAAAGGATAAGGTTGTAAGTAAAATCCATTTTATAGCAAAGTCAAAGTATCCAGTAACGTGACGCATAACATTTATCCATATTAGAAAGATGCTGAATTTACGGCAAATTCAGCGATTGACTTTCGTCGACCAAGCTGAGCCCCAAGTTTTAGTTACATGTAGAATTAACACAATTATTCCACCTGCGCGTTGTTCTGGATATAGGTTGGCTATTACCATCTCGTATGGAACAAGTGCATAGGAAAAAACGCACACAAAATATCGATGAATCTTCCGGACTTTATTTTGTTGCTACAAATGAGAAAAGACAATTCAAGGCACTTCCCCTTTTCAGTCTAGCAAAACTGTCATTAGTCATATCTGTGTCTAAGCAAACGGACTGACTGAATGAAAAATAAATAAATACTGAACATATCTTATCGGTGCCTGACACTTTCAAAAATTCATCAGCATTTTGCTTTGCTCGACACCTAAAAAGATTGCAGATGATCTGAAATTTGAACTTCATATTTAGTGCAGTTACAAACTAAACTTCCCTTCGGTTGGCATGCAATAAGCTCGTGTAATTAAATAAATTTAAGTCGCTTAGTCATCAAATTGTTAGCTATTGTTTCAGGGAGCCGCCGTCTGGTTTTGCTGTTCGCGAACAGATGCTATACCTAATACCTGTATTAATTGCCGCACTGAGTGGGCTCACAGCCCGTATTCTCAGCAAGTTGCTTGTGGTCAGTGTATTCTTTTGTGGGATGAACATGCTGCACATATTTATCGGCGAGTGGCCTCACGATGGCGTGAAGAAACACTTAATGCTTGGCTTCTTTCGTAGCTGGTCAGCATAAGGTATCTTTTAAATGCATTTCTTCTACGTTTTTGTATGAACTCTAATGAAATTCTGTCTTCTATTCCATATACTTTGTAAATTTTTTTGTCCAATTAAATTGCATTTTATGGCACTCTAAGAATTAAAACCTTTTTTTTCGGGCAAAATTCTTTCCACCTAACTTTCAGTTGGTTTTTAAGGAAGCTGAACACAATTTCTTTAGCAGTACTTTATCCCTTTTATGCGAATTTTATAACATCTTTAGCAGGAGGAGATACTGCAGCCAATAAGCTTTTTACGTGAACAAAGAGTACGAGGAGACGCTTAGAAAAATGACGAGAAGTTAATTATTGTCAGTAAAAAANATATCTTATCGGTGCCTGACACTTTCAAAAATTCATCAGCATTTTGCTTTGCTCGACACCTAAAAAGACCCAGATGATCTGAAATTTGAACTTCATATTTAGTGCAGTTACAAACTAAAATTCCCTTCGGTTGGCATGCAATAAGCTCGTGTAATTAAATAAATTTAAGTCGCTTAGTCATCAAATTGTTAGCTATTGTTTCAGGGAGCCGCCGTCTGGTTTTGCTGTTCGAGAACAGATGCTATACCTAATACCTGTATTAATTGCCGCACTGAGTGGGCTCACAGCCCGTATTCTCAGCAAGTTGCTTGTGGTCAGTGTATTCTTTTGTGGGATGAACATGCTGCACATATTTATCGGCGAGTGGCCTCACGATGGCGTGAAGAAACACTTAATGCTTGGCTTCTTTCGTAGCTGGTCAGCATAAGGTATCTTTTAAATGCATTTCTTCTACGTTTTTGTATGAACTCTAATGAAATTCTGTCTTCTATTCCATATACTTTGTAAATTTTTTTGTCCAATTAAATTGCATTTTATGGCACTCTAAGAATTAAAACCTTTTTTTTCGGGCAAAATTCTTTCCACCTAACTTTCAGTTGGTTTTTAAGGAAGCTGAACACAATTTCTTTAGCAGTACTTTATCCCTTTTATGCGAATTTTATAACATCTTTAGCAGGAGGAGATACTGCAGCCAATAAGCTTTTTACGTGAACAAAGAGTACGAGGAGACGCTTAGAAAAATGACGAGAAGTTAATTATTGTCAGTAAAAAAATTATTCTTATAGGTTTTCGTCGCCTTTGAAATATACATGTAGTGTGCTCTCAACGAATGCTTAAGTGTTTAACATGCTTACTTTTTGTCTTATTTTGTTAAAAAAAATAAAATAAATACTGTTAAAATTTTGTTTAAGTTGTTTTAAAAAGTGAGGGTAACTAATCATAACTGAGTTGTGTACTAACTCATCAAGAAATCTACCAAATCTATCTAATAAATTCGAAATTTTAGGCTTGTTTTCAATCATCCATGTTGAACTTACGGGTATACTGAGTAGGATCTCAAAGTAGGGACGTCGGTAAGATATAAAATAAGCAAACTATTTAAAAATAAAACGCACGCGATCTAGGAAAGGGGATAGCGGCGGGAAAAAAAAAATGGTCCTCTCCGTCCCTGCTCCCGCTGCACTACTATCTCGGAGCCTACATAACAGGCTACAAAAATCGAGGTGTTTCTCGAAATAAGGACGAAGAAAGAAAAGGTAAAAAAAAAAATTGAAATAATAAAATGAGATCAAGTAACGGGAAGTTTGCGCAGCTCTAAAAAATGTAAAGCAGACTTTGATAAGTCCCTTAATTATTGTCTCCGTTTTTTAGAAAACTTGATGCTTGCTTTTTCATAGTGTAGCACTTATACTGCTAGTAACATGTATTTCTTGTGACGCAATTACAAAAGCAGTTTTTTTCATAATAACAAAACACGAACGGTTCATCAGTTACAGGTGGCAGTCCTATCTTTAAATGTGCGTTGCTATGGCAATATCCCATTGAATCAGCCAAACATTAGGATCAAAGTGGTTCGCTTGTATGAAAAAGAACGAAGAACTCGATACAATAAAATTGTTTCAACAAGGCAGTTTACTCGTTTAAATTTATTTATTGCCAGGAACTTTTAATGGATACGAATTCCCTCAGTTGAATGTTCCCATAGGTTAACAGGTGAGGTACTTTGTGTTGCCATAGTCACTGATGTCCAACAGAACAAGAAAAGCACCAGGAAGTGAGAAAGTTTCGGGGCCTTAGTCAACTTTCAGTATGAAAACTATAGACATTCATTGTCTTCACTATATGATGTTATAACTACTTAAACGTGCTGAACCCTGGATTAAATTCAGCGTACTATAAACCTACAAAAGTTGGGATTAAATTTTCTTTTTTTCCCTTTCGCTTTGTTTCATGGATTCAAAAAACAACGAATTTGACATACATGTCGATGCTTAAATGACATCGATATAATTAAGGACGGCAAGCAATATACATTTTTATCTTTTGCACTCCCCGCTGGGTTTGCTCAGTTCAGTTTTTAGTGAGGTTTTGAAAGTCAACGCTGTTTCATTTACCCAGAAATTTGCAGAGATGCTACCGAATTTAAAGGCGTTGTGCTGATATAGTCTAGCTGGAAAAAGATTAGCCCAAAACAGGAGTATTAAAACGTTTCTGTAACTTTTAAGGCAAGCCAAGTATGCAAACAAATAATAAGAAAAAATCATGATATGACAAATGTGTTTTACGAGCTGAAAGCTTTTTGTCGGAAAAATATTTCAGTCGAGACCTTTGTCAGCAAAACTTTCCTCTCACTAACGTTTAGGACATTCGAACATAAATATATCGACTTCATCAAGTATGTTTGGGCATCAGAAGATGTTTAAATTAAGAGTCCTTTGCATTCCTGTCCTTTTCAGTCCTTTGAATTCCTTTGCATTTGAAGCACAACGTGATCCACTGCATTCAAGATTTTCCAAGCGAAGAGATACATTTTGATTTACAAATGCTAACTTTCGAAACTAGCGAGAGTCAAAAGAAAATAATCACACAAACAAACAAGAAGAAACTTTTTATTTTCCCTAGAAGGAACATTTTTGATTAATTAGAAGTTTGACTTACCAGAATATAAAAGTGATGAAACTCATTGCTGGCGTTGAACTTATGTGAGTTGTTAAACTTGTCCGATGGCAGGAGTTCACAAAGAAGTTTACCGTTGACATCAGGAAAGGCAGCCACGTTGTAGGAAAAACATGAAGGAATTTCTAGACAGGCGTAGCCACAATCGTTTTCGTCCTGAATTAGACTCCGTCCAATACTGGAGATATTCAGGTAGGAAAATTCACTTGTCATGAAGTTGACGTAGAAAAAGTTGCCAATCGATCCTTGACTGAAAGCTGTAAGGAAAAAGTAAGAAAAAATGAAAGCTTTAGGAATGTACTGAAAATATGTTCCAGGGGACCCAGACTACTAAAAATACAGACTACACGAACACAGGTTAGAGTGTCACCTGTAGAAATACTTGGAAATGTAGCAAAGATCCCCATTACGACGACATAGTTTCTGAGAAGTAGTGGATAGCCTTCCATGTTATTAGAGTAAGTCGCAGCGCAGTCGGCCACGGTCTTGTTCAAAAATTTACCTTTGTTTGAAGAAAGCTTCAGTTGCCTAGGTCTAAATGCGTTTGTTAGCTTCCTTG